ACATAAACAACATCTATAGTAAATGTAAACAACAATGTTAGATAGGTCAAAATATTTTGCATGGGGAAAGGGATCACGTTAGATTTTTACATTTCCATTGGCTCCTTTGGGATAACAGAACTCAGATCTATTTCTTTAAGGGCAACCACACATATGTAAAAAAACTGTTACTGAAACAAGTTGAAATTCAAAACCGAGCAGAGCTTTTGAAAAGATCCCGTGAGTTTTCGAAATGCCAAAATACTGTTATTGAAATCACAGGTAACTCTAATCTATTATATTTGAGAGCTTTATAACAGTACACCTGAGAGACTGACAAGATTGGTTAAAATTCAGCTAATGGTTTTCTTAAATTAAAATTCACAAGTTTCGAAAATGTGACAAAGTTATATATTAGTCCGTGGATGTATTTTCTAGAGTGGATGATGATGGATTGGGACATATATTTTAAAGAAAAGCTTAAATATTTCTTTGTGTGTGTACATGTTTTCATCTTGATGAAAACCTCTTGCGCTAGCTACTTCGATGCAAAATATGTTTCCGTGTCTGTTCAGTCTGCAGAGTGGTGAGAAGGCTGAAGATGAAGCCAGGGAGAGAAAACAGCAACGGAGCACACACAGACATGAGGCCGCCTGGCTGCCTGCCAGCATACATGACATTCAATTATTTTAGTGCTTTTTCATGAGAGTTTTCCCTCCATCAGCTTCCCCTCCTTCTCCAGACCCTTGCTTTTCTACTTTGGCATAGTTCATCTGATTCAGCACGCATTTTCCCCAGCTTTCCTCGCTGATAGTGTGCCTCAAACTCACCCGAAAAAAGAAAGTGCTAAGATGAAAATTCTTGCAATCCTGTCTTGACATTGACAGTATTACTGTATAAGGGTGACATTTCTTTCAATAAATTGAGAAAGGAACTGCAGTGGTCCACACATTGCTTCAGCTGCTGCTTTGATGTATGGACTCCAAATATTTTTCATTTCCCAAAATACATTCTCATGGAGGAGGGGGGCATTGAAAACAGCTTTTAGACTTTGAGAATTTTTTCAAAGTATAATAAATAACTTAAATTGACAGACAGGCAATCTCTTATTTGACTTTACTTATTTGAACTTACCTTTGTATGTGGGGGGGAGGAGTTAAATAGTTATTTTAGAGAAGTTTTCAATACTTTGATTTATTCAATTACTTTATTTCTAGACTCTAAAGGGAAGTAAATAGAGAAAACTTTACTAAAACACCCCAAATATCTGTATTTGGGGAGTTGGCACCAATAATAATAGCAACGACCACAAACTAGTTCAGAGCATCAGAGTCATCTCACAACATTGTCTTTCCACTGGGTTAGCATCTGATGGTGCCAGGGGATGAAGAGAAAACCGTTTCCAAGAGGTGGAGACTTGAATCTGTAATAGGTCTTATGAACTCTCGTCCCTTTGCTTCCTGGACTCTGCACATTCCTTCATTGCACTTCATTCCTATCAAGAAGATGTGAAGAAACTTCAATAGCGACACAGCAGCACCCAGAGATCTGAAAGTGCTGGAATCTTAAGATGTCCAAAATTTTGTTAGACTTTAAGAGAAATTGATGGCTTGCTCTGCCCCTCTTTGACTCCCACCCTCACCCACCATCTCCTATAAGTGTTGCCCATTGGTAAAGCAAAGGAGAAATGCAGGTGTAGCAGTGTTATGCCTCATAGATTTCTTGATTGACAGGAAAGTTGGGGAGCAGAATCCTGGGACTAGAACCCAGGTTCTCTTATGGAAAGAGATGGGCAATGCTCTCAGAGATAAAATTGAAAGGTAAAGCAAAAGAGGGAGTGGTAGCCTGAGGGTGCCAGGCTGAGCTTGCTGAGATAAAATCCCAATTAGAACTTCATTTAATAAACTGGATCTTACTCGCCAGCTGCTGGCTCCTGGGGCGCTGACCAAGGAGATGTTTGGAGCTGGGGAGGGCTGAAGTAAAGAGTGAGGATTAGGAGAAAGTTTTCAAAGCCTGCTGAGGAGGAAAGAGTCATGCCATGCCACTCTGGATAAAGTAGCTAAAAGTATTTACCAAAACGCTATGGTCATTTTACAAGAAGGTTATAGTCAAAAGCTTCAGGCAGAAAAAGCCCAGGTATGTCTCAGGGAAGGTAGGACGGATCTCAGCCGATTTCTGCTCTCTGTTTGTGACCTCCAGAAATCATTTAATTTTTGTTGTTTAGTGTTATTTTAAATTTATTATTAATGCACCATTGGCTAGAGCTGTATTATTACCATAAACTCCATTTCAAGCTCTCAAAATCCATTAAATGAAGCTCTTGGCAACCAGAGACCCAGCTTCTTGCCAAAAACTGCAGATTAAGCATTCCTTATGGGAGTTTGCCATTAGCTATTCTTCTGTTATAGGCACATGTGGTTACATGTCCCCAAACACACAGGATTCCTTGTAATAGATTTGCATTTCCAGGGGTTTCCAGGGATGTTAAGTGGAGTTGGTGACACCTTGCACCCATTCCTCCAGCTATCACCATCAAAAGTGGGTCTGAGGGAAGGTCCGGGAAGGGCTTGCTGGGCAGCTGTCCTCCTTGGCTTCCCTGTAGTTTCCTCTAGACGCTGAACCGTTACTGGTACAAGGCACTCTAGAGCTTGCATCATATGTCTTTCATTTATAAGACACCAAATGTTTTTCAGGGAATTTAGAGCTCTTAAGACGCATATTTATAAACAAGCTGACAGAGCTCCACGACATAACTAAGTTTATAGCTAGGAGTTGTTTGTATATGTCCTCAAGTCTGCAAGGCATTCTTGCTGCTGTGAGTTTCTTAGGTGTGTGTGTGTGGGGGGTGGCTACTAAATTGTCATTTCTCTTATCCTCCCTGTGTTTGTTAGAGAAAGTCAGACTTGCAGAATATCTGAAGTTAAGGTACAGAGCGGGATAGAGCATGGAATACCATGAAACCACACAGGACGGAGTGGATAAATCTACACTCAACCTTCCCACAGGGGCGGCCCAGGAACAGGCTAGCAAATGCCCAGGAAGCGCATGGCTGCTTCTCCTCAAGCAAGGTCTGGGTGCCCCAGCCTCTACTGGGCCTTTTGGGGATGCCAGGCTTGGAGGTCCCGAGCCTTGATGCAATCTGGCTTTCTCCCGGAGCAAAGTCCCACAAAGCTTTCCTTTGACTGCACCCCCTTGAGATTTAACAATTCGTTGTTGGTGCCGGATGCAGGGCTCTGGAGACAGTAATAATAATACAGAAAAAAACTACATAATTACAGGAATAGTGTCAACTCGCCAGAACCTGACTGCGCGTTCGAGGCCACTCTGAGGGCGGCCCCACGTGAACTGAGTTTGTGTTCCATCTCGGGAGAAGCGAGGATGCTGCTTCGGGTAGCCAGCTCGGCTCCCACCAGGCCCAGTCTGGGTGTTTCGGACCAGCCCGGCCTCTGGGGGTAGCGCCTAAGCGCAGGTCTATGGTGCGCAACGCTCCATAATTGCTCCTCCCTGGTTGCGGCCTGTCCTGGCCTCGAAGAGGACCTGCCATTGAGTCTTGGGTCAGCCAAGACCCCGAAGAGGGTGGACATTTCCGAACGCATTCGGATGTGCAGATGCCCTCCATAGTTGGGCCAGGGTTTCTCGACGTGCCAAAGGTCGCGGTAGTGTTGTCACGCTGGCCAGGGGAAACGCGACGGGCACAGCGGGGCCTCTGCGAGACACCCTGGAGCAGAGGCCTCCCTCGGAAGGTGCAAACTGCAGTCCCTAACTTGTGGGAGCACTTCACCAAATTTGCCAGTTTTAGAGGCCTGTTGCAAATGGCCGCCTTTTCGTGCCCAAGGCCCTTCATGCGTTTCCCTCCGGCGCCGCGGGCTCCTCGGAAGCCCGGGTCAGTCCTAAGCCACACGGGGATCTTTCTCCACCTCAGCGACGCCCTGCCCTCACCGAGCGGCCAGCTCCCGACCCTCCTTACCGTCCCCTCGGGCGGGAAGGAGGCCGGGACCTGCCAGCTGCTGGGACACCGCGTCTCTCCAGCGCCCATCCCTACTCGTGTCCCTCGCTCCCCGCACGCGCTTTTAAAAGTAACTCCACCGCCTTTCTTTAAGAGTAAAAATAAGAGTGTTTAAAAACAATGCTGAAGGCCGTCCTCTTTCCCAAACACTTTTGCGTAGTAAGCCCCGCTCTAGACTGTACTGAGGACCCTTGGGAGGCAGTTTTCCTGTCGAGCTTTTCTTACGATAGTCTGGATCTAATGATAAAATCCTGGACCGAGAGGAGTGCTGGACAGGAAGGTGTAGAAATAGGATGGTATTGGTAAAACGGATTCCATGCCTCATTCTCCGCTTCCCTCTCGCACCCAAGGCCACCAAGTCCACCCGCCGCCGCGTTCCAGCCAGAAGCGAAAGGCCTCGCGCCCCAAAGCGCCACGAGCGCCGGGTCGCCGAGCTGCGCCGGGTTAAAAACAGAAGCGGCCCCTCTACTAGTGCCAGACCAGTTAGTAGCTGCCAACGTATCTGGTTTATAGGGCTTCGGATTAATGTGGGTCTTCCACATAAACGAGTTGCGGATGAAATAAAAGCCCTTTAGAGCAATACTTCCTTTCAAGTTCTTAAGATGCCTCTCAAGTTTTCTGGGAGTGAGTGGCCGGAGTGGGGGCGGGGTGGGGGCCGCGGCCGCGCGGGCGGGGAGGGAGCAGAGAGTGGGGAGTGGAGGGTTAACTGCCGTGCGATCTCACCCAGCTCTTCCGAAATGCCAGTCCACTGTCGCTGCGACAATGTTTCTGGGTGTCGAGGCCTCGTCCTTCCTGGCATTTGTCTGGAATGGAGCTGTCTGTCTAACCTAGGCCTGGACGCGCCCTGCCCGGGGAAGCGGGGGAAGGTGGGGTGGGGTGGGGTGGGGGCAGCGGGGGGCCCGGGGTGGAGTTAGTCGCCCGCCCATTTTCATATTCATTAGAACTGGGAGGTTGCCCGAGGAGCCCAGCTGAGTTTCAAGATATAAAAGCAACTTCGGGTGCCCCTTCCCAGCCGGGACGTATTAAAGGGCTGGGAGCGGGGCAGCTCCCGGCGCGGCCGCCCGAGCTTCCCCTTCCCTGCGCTCGGCCCTCCCTGCGCCCGCCCGCCCCTTCCCTCCGCGGAGCGCGCCGGCCGCCGCGCCCCGGGAGCTGCGCGTCCGCGACCGGGAGCATGGAGTTTCTGAGCGAGAAGTTTGCCCTGAAGAGCCCGCCGAGTAAAAACAGCGACTTCTACATGGGCGCGGGGGGCGCGTTGGAGCACGTTATGCAGACCCTGGACAATGAGTCCTTTTACGGCAAAGCCGCGGCGGGCAAATGCGTGCAGGCCTTCGGGCCGCTGCCCCGCGCCGAGCATCACGTGCGCCTGGAGCGGACCTCGCCGTGTCAGGACGGCGGCGGTGAGTCCCCGCCGCGGCCCGCACGCGGGGAACCGTCGGGCGGGGCGGGCCGGGGTGACGGAGGGAGGTGGGAAGGAGCGGGGCGCGCGAAGCGGGAGGGCGGAGGCGGGCGGCGGGGGGCGTCCGGGTCGGGCGCGGCGGCGCGGCCGGCGGCGACTGCGGAGGGCGCGGGGAGGGTGCGGCCGGGTTGCCTCCCCGCGGCCCTCCGCCGGCCGTTCGGGCTCGTCCCCCAGGGGTCCCCGCGTCCCTCCGTCCCGCGTCCAGCCGTAAACCGATAGGGCGGTAAATAAAGCGTAATTGCGTCGAGACAGGGCGCTGCCTCCGCGAGCTCGCCGCGCGGCCCCGGCTGCGGGAGCCGAAATCGCTCGCAGCTCGTTTGGAGGCGTCGCCGTGGTCGCGGAGGAGGAGGCTCCGAACTCCGTGGGATGGGAAACCTTTGTCACGTTCCAAGATGTAGCGATCGGTTGCTTTGCGAAATTGGAAGGTTGCTCGATTAGCTCGTGTGGGTTTGTGATTCCTGTGTCTTTGGGTTTGCAACACAACACATAAATTTCGGACATCAGACACTTTAAATAGCTTCAGGCAAAGAACCCCCAATATATTCACTTACTGTGGAATTCTGCATTGTCTGCTTTTCTGACTCCACATTAAAAGCCACCTCAGAAGCCTTTCCGAATGCCTCTGGGTGAAATCTTCGACTTTGAATGGCCAAATAGCTCAAAGTCAAAATGTTATCAAAACAAACCATCTTTTCTATCTTGGAACCCAATACAAACCTATTTTTTTTTTCAGATCACGACAGCTAAAGCAAGTTTACAATTCCAAGAGGACTTTTCTTATCATTGTATATATTCCACAGTTAAGCTGTAAGGAGCGGGTTACTTTAAAATAACAAACGAATTAAGTGTGAAATATTTACAACAAGCCTCCTGTCCCCTATTTTAACGGAGGTTCAAAGTCTGACAAGGCACTGGCTCACAGCAGCTCGTTTCTAAATGCTACTTTGTGCATGGAAGCTGAAAAAAGTATCTGATATATTTTATTTACTTTATTCAACATCACAAGTCACTTTTGACTTGCAATGTTAAACCAAAAATAAAGACGAAAACGATAGAGACAAATCAGTTAAATCGTTTCAGTTATTTGTTTAGAGAGATGCAAGCTATAGATTTTTAAAAATATTTTAACGCACTAAATATTTTGCTTTCCGGTTGTATTTTTAGACTGCAGTGTCTTTAGATTTTTGGAATTCTTAGAGGCATACATAAAGTTATTTGAATAGACAGGATTAAAAAAAATGATTCTGTAGTGTTCACTGCTGGATAGAACTCAGTCATATTTTAAACTGTCGGGAATTCAAAATAAGAAAAGAAATAGGTGGGTTTTGAGGCTTTATCAACTTTCAAACGAACATCGCCCTCGGAGGACTGGTCCCGATGAGAGAGAAGTCAGAGCAGCCCAGGCAGCCGGGCGCTCAGTTTCCGAGTCCGCGTCTCTCTGCTGAGACGCCCGGGGTTTCGCGGACGGCTTCCCCTCCCCCACCTTTAATTACCGAAGTTCCCCCATTTAACTCTGTCCGCGGAGACAAAACCGTATTGTTAATCAGTGATGGCTCTTCTTTGCACTTAGTTCTACTTCCCATCTTTCACAAAAATGCCTCAGCATGTCAGTTACTTCGGTATGAAAGTTCAATATTGGTATAATGATCACAGTAGTTGTAAAAAGTAAGTTATGATGGGTCATTTAAGAACAGACAAAAACGAAAAAAGTATGACAGTTCATTGTAAATTATTGTTCTCGCTGGGTTGACTTTACTTTTTTTTAATGCCTCCATTGCATTATGTGTGTTAATTGAGTGTGCGTGTGTGTGTGCGTGTGTGGTATATAGTTTTGTTTTATATCATACCCCAAGCATGCAGTCAGATCTGGAGGAAATCACTGAAATTAAAACATCCCCACACAGAATGCCAGATGATATTCATTGTAAGATTTTAATAGGTGTTTTAATTTCTGGGCTTTACTAGAGGATAAAATTAAGGTTTCTGTGTTAAAGCATTTCATAAGTTAAGAATAAATATGTTTTTTTAGAAAGAACTGCAAATAAGTTTTTAAGCTGAAGAAGTCTATTTGTCTTCTTTTCTATAGGAAACAATTTCAGAAACTGATATAATATTCATTTGTAAATTTAGATGACTTTTTGAAAAAACTAAATGCAGATATGAGTATACACTTGAAATGTTAAAAATGTAGTAGAAAAATACCAAATTGGAAATCTATAGGTTTTGTGTAGAGAAGGGAGATAACTTGGGAAGAGTTTGGATTTTGGCTTACAGATATTATTTTAAATGGAAATTCTTTCTTGGGCCATATAAGTAGATTAATTTTGTCTGCACTGAATAAATATATAACTTACAATAAATTTGGATCAATTTTAAAAATTATGCTCACTTAGGATTTTCTAATCTAAAACATCTTTTAATCTGACTACCTTAATTTAATTACAAGTTATGTGCAAAAACATTGCGTTAGCCATGTAGAACTGTGAATTTGGGCAAATTGCGTAAGTTTCATGGAGACATTTTTAGATGGTCTTAAACCTCCCCAAAGCGGAGTAATAATGGTAAATAATGTGATGGTTTAATTAATACTGGCACGATAAATCATTAGCAGACCACTTTCCCGATGCTGTAAATTACTTCATCTTAATTCATTCATCAAAATCCTTTGCAATGCTGAGAACTGTTGTTTTCCTCCTGGGTACAGTGAACTATGGGATCACTAAAGTAGAAGGACAGCCTCTTCACACGGAACTGAACAGAGCAATGGACAACTGTAACAGTCTCCGGATGTCTCCAGGGAAAGGGATGCAAGAGAAGGGAGAACTGGATGAACTTGGGGATAAATGTGACAGCAATGTATCCAGCAGTAAGAAGCGGAGGCACCGGACCACCTTCACCAGCTTGCAGCTGGAGGAGCTGGAGAAGGTCTTTCAGAAAACCCATTACCCAGATGTGTACGTCAGAGAACAGCTTGCTCTGAGGACAGAGCTCACTGAGGCTAGGGTCCAGGTAGGAGCCATATGTAGGCCTTGGGCAGGTGGGGGTGGGATGTGGGAGGACAGTGTTAGAGTGATTCAGTAGCTGCATTTTGCCATGAAGGAATTATCTGAAGATGTAGAACAATGTAATGTGTACATGCAGATCTATTGAGATTTCTTTTTACTTGCAAAGAATTTAACAATCCACATAACATGAAACAAAAAAATACTTGACTTATTACATGGGCATAAAAAACTTTCATTATTTAAAAGTAACCGAATATCCTAACATAGGTCTGATTTCAAAAGTGAATTTTAAAGGGCAAAAGAGGAATCATAGTTATCTAATTAATAAGCATGTATTTTATTTTGTTTTCTATTTTATCAGCTATTTAGGATTTTTTACAGGTTATATACTAGGTGTTGATAAATTCTTTTTTTCAAAAAATAATGGCCCATCAGTCTATAATTTTATTGAGGTTAAGGCAATAATCAAATAAAGAAAAAAATGAAACAATCTCACAATTCCCAATTGTTATGTATATGAAATCTATTTTTACTATACATAATTAGAGGAAGGTCATATAATTCATTTACAATTTTCTAACCTTAGTCGTTGCCACTTATGTCATTCCATTTTAATATTTTAACTCCAGATAATTTGTGTGTTTTTTGCAAAGGTAATGGGAATAATGATCTTAATAATACATACTCAATTACATTTATAAGTTTACTCAAATTATCAAATTGGATGATTTAATAAACTAAATTTTTTAACCTTTGGAAAGGAAACAATATGGTGGGTAAAATATCCCATTAGGCATATTTTATTTTTATTAAAGTTGATATTCTTACACTATATTTTATTAGGTTCCAAATAACAGTAATTTGGAAGAATGGCCAAATTTTACTTTGGCATGTCTTTATTACTCTAAATAGGAAACTATTGAATTTTGCAGTTCCCATGCACTACTAGAATAGAGAAATGAATGAAAGCATGAAAAGATTTGTTCTTGGTGGGGTAACAGTATTTCCTCTGAAGATTAAACCATTGGAAGGCCTTCACATCATTAAACACAACATATGGTGGTGCAGGAATAATAAGCAGCAGTTTTTTTTTTCTTTAGTTGTAGAGCAAATGGTTATGTTATCTTAGTTGAGGAAGTAAATATATAGAAAGTTGATGCTAATGGAAAATTTCAGAGTTGTCAAGTGTTAACTCGAGACCCACATATGTTCTTTTTTGTCTTGTGTTCATATATTTAAATTGGATATGCTTGTAACTGTACAGAAATATGCTTGCTTGCAGAGACATCAGCTGTGCAAAATGCATGTTTCTCCTTATCATTTCATCAAGTCCCGATTAATTTTTGTCTAAGAATGTGAACAGAGAGCCAACCTGACCCTAATTTACTCAGGTTATTTTCTTTCCTGCTTTTCACATCAGAGTGGTTGGTAATTGGCATCCATTTTAAGGAGAGTGTCAAGGTCTTTTTCTCAGTGGGAAAAACCTCACTACTAAATTCCCTTAGTATGCCCTTGGTGCCTACTTATGGAGACAGCAAGGAAATATGTTTTGTTTGGTTGGGTTGTTTATGTTTTCTTGAGCCTGGGCATAATGCATGATGCACACTTGCCAGCAGTGTTCTGAGTAAGCACACTGAAGAGGTAGCCCTCTTTCCTTTGTTTTAAGTGATGAAAACTCTTTGAGTGCCATCTTGGATTTGCAATAAATATATGCTAACATATTAAAGTGAATAGTATATGTTTTTGTGGGATTACAATTGAATTTAAAAAAGAGTAAACATATCAACTAATTTTAGCTAATGGCTTTTCACAATTTGCATTTTTATATTGGATTTCCAGCTTCTTTCCTAAACATTATGTATTCTACACATAGTTCTGTAAAGGCTAAAGAGCCTCTTGGAAGCTGCTTGTGTAATGACTACTCAGAAATAATTTATACATATTGGAGATAATTTTCTGTGTCTTTTTTTAATGCATTAAAATATTAAAATGAAGATTCTGGAGAGCCGTAAGTATGAATTGGTGACTATTTAACCCTTTATGGAAGATAGTTGTTATGATAAAGATTAGTATGTAATTAGAGAAATTAGAATGAGAGCCCCATTAACTCACAGGCTTTCTTCACACTTGGCTATATCTTGTCTATTTTTAAAATTATTTATACTACCTGCAAGTCCTTTAAATTGGAGAAATGATTTTGAAAATTGCTGAATGCTTTCTACAAGGGAAGAAGATACGTAAGTGGTATAATTTGTATAATAAGCACATTTATATATTTTAAAACTGTAATTCAACTTCAGATGATTCCATTTTACCTTTATCATGCTCAGTATTATACATGATCTTAATATTATCTGTTTCTAAATCATCATATGATATTTCTACTGATGCTCTAGGTTTTAGATGTCATCTTTTTGTTTATATTTTTCTAAGGGTGTCTTAGTATGGTTACAATCAAGAAGAGTGTTCACTTTGTGAAATGCTTTAAGAAATAATTGTTCTGGCAGACCCAGGTATTCAGTTGTTGATAAATTGGCTGGGTTAACATTATGTGCATAACCCCAAACTAAAAAGTGACAAATATTTTCAGATTTGCTGCATTCTATGAGAGGAGGAGTATCTATGATAATTTGGAGATATACAGTCTTCAAGAACATATAATCTAATTTCTTTTTTTTCTTTTCACAAATGATAAAACAGGCTCAGATATATTAAACAATTATTTTGAAAGTATGTTATCTCTTTATATTAATTTATACTGTTTCATGGACATACCACTTATATCACAGTAAAATAGAAAGTCAAATTTGTGGATCCTTTTCTGATAACAAAATTCCTTTTATTAGTAATTATATTGACCAGATTTACCTTTCTGATTTGAAGTATGTTAACATCCCCTCAGTATTTTCAACTGTACTTTAGCTAAAATTCTACTTCTTTAAAAAATCAGGTTTGGTTTCAAAATCGAAGGGCCAAATGGAGGAAAAGAGAACGTTATGGCCAAATACAACAAGCTAAAAGCCATTTTGCCGCCACCTATGACATATCGGTTTTGCCCAGGACTGACAGCTACCCACAGGTATGGAAAACTGCGTGCAGTACTGACCGAGAAAAATGGGCTGGGCGCGGTGTGTCCACTCTTAAACGGGCTCTACAGGCTTTGCTCTCTCTCGTAATTAGGAATGAAAATGTTCAACTCCAGAAAACTTTTTTCATGTTTGCTAGATTTTTATTTTACTAAGATATTTATTGTGTTATTGTTTTCTTTCAGAGCCATTCTTTAAAAAATATTTTAGGCTCTCTTCCTTGTTATACACTGCAACAAGTGAAGTAGCATCTTTCCATAGCATATGCTTGTCAATTACTCTACGTTTTAATTATTCAGAATTACTTCCCTTGTTAACTTTTAAAAATATACTAAAAATTGTTGGACATGCTGTCTCTGTGGCTAATGTTTTATGACTCACCCTTATATAGACTAATATAAAATGTAGTGTATGAAACCTTTATTCCACTTAAAAATAATGTCTTTTTCTATGTTGTCTTTTCAGCTTTGAAGTTTCTCATTGTTTGAAGGAAACATTTAGCCCTTTGTTTCTTAAAATGTATATAGAATTAGTAGTGGTTATAATTGTATTATCATGTTAGAAAACACATACTTTTATAATGGGAACTCTCATTTCCAAGAGTAGAAATTATGTTTTCTTCTAATTTTCCTTCTAATTTAGAGACTTTTCTTTTTCATACTTTCTAATGCATGTAAATAAAATATATTTTCATCTTTCTCAACGAGTATTACTTTTTCCTAATACCGAATTATTGAGAACTGTATTTGGTACCTGATTAGGGACGCATATCATAAGGAACAGGCTGCCTGCTATTTAGTTCCTCATTGTCCAGTTCTATGCATTGTGAGACCCCACCCTGACAACACATGTGCAACATCTATGTCGGTGGAATACCTTGACAGTCCGGTAACAAAATCATCTCAGTCCCAAACTTAAGGTATTCATTTTCTTCAACTATAAATTCATACTCTGTTAGTGTGAATTCAGTCCTTTATTTCTGTTCTATTTTTGGCTTCTGATGCCTTTTTGACCTTTAAAAACCTATCTTGAGACTGTCACTCCTCCAGATAAATTCACCAGACTTATTCATGTAACGTTATATGTGAACAAAAAAAGCCTTAGAGATCACCTTGTTCTATTTCATTTTAGAAGCTGGGAAACCAGACCCAGTAACCAGAGGAATGGTCTGTGGTCACACAGGTTGCTCCTTACAGGACAGTCTACAGGGGCTGCTGTGGCTCAGCTGCCTTCTGCTAGGGAACCAAACCTCAGGGGCCCCTTCTGAATAAATGCCACCCCTGCCTCGAGTAGAATCTTGCTTCTCTTACTTTTAAAAGTTCATCTTAAAGTAGTTGGCTTATTTTTTTCTCCTGTTTAAAGGCATGTATACATTCCTGGTTGCTTAGTGTCATAGGAACAATGACATTTACTCCCCAAACATTTTTGAGTGTCCCAAGTGAGTTCTACACAGAGTGCTATGAGGCTCTTTCCCCTGCAGCCTGTAAGCTCCATGGGGTCAGGCACGGCAGTGTTTTCCTAGTTGTTAACGGGCCCACAGCCACTGCTTAGGTGTTGTTCTGAGCAGGTCGTGTATATTAACTCACTGAATCCTCACAGGAACCTTATACATTATTAATCATCCCCATGTTACATGTGTGGAAACTGAGGCACAGAAAGGTGAGGTATTTACTCCCTTTCACTAGTGGCACAGCCTGGATTGGACATGAGGCCCTTCAGCTACCGAGCGCAAAATCTTAACCCTCAATACAGACTGTCCCGGCACACACGTCTAAGTAATTGAATGGTAAACAAGTTAATACTACAGGAGCATACGGCTTACGCTGCATTATTCAAGTTAGCATTTTAGTTCAGGGGAAAAGACAATGTAGTCACAACCAGTGAAATAACAATAAAAATAATGAATGTACAATATACATTACATAATTTTGAACAAGTTGACTATGATGACTTGAGAAATGTTAAGTCATAAATTATGAACTCTTTTCAATTGGACCGAAATAGTGTGATGAGTTTATCCCATCACACTCGACTCTATCACAACACTCGACTCTATCACAACGCTTGACTCTATTACAACACTTGACTCTATCTTGTTTTGCACCTTGTTATTTCGGTCTTCATTCCTTCTCTTGTAAACCCCATTTCTGCCTGTTTTTTCACTCCTCTGTTTCTTGGTTTGGGTTGCCTTATCTCTAACTCCTCTTTCATTTTTAGTATAGCATAAAACATTTATAACAATGCGGAGCCCCAATTAACCTCTTTATAATGGCTTAATATAACTCAATACACTCTTTTTACTAGTTGCCCTTTTTAGTAGGGTTATTTTGCCATTGTGTTGCATAGCTTTAGATATTAACGATTAGCAGAATGAGGTGAACTAGCAGCTCAAACAGGAAGGGAAATGATACAAATTATGCATTTGACAGTCTTTTTACTCCAGCAAAGGACTAATTTAAAATTTCCCCTCACAAATGATGAGAATTTCACACTAATTCTCCCTGTGGCTTCCCCATAATTTATATGCACTGGTTGTATCACCTCATAATTTAAGTATGGAAGCACACAGATCATATATATGTTGAAGTTATTTTGACAGTGCAGTCTCTCAACAAAAACAAAAATTGATACTATAAGATCCATAGTGTTTTTCTATATTGGTAAATCATTTAATATTTGGTTGCCCAAAATTCCGAAATCACATGTCTCTCACTCACCACTGTAGGTATTGGAGAAAGTCAGGGGGAATTTTATTTTAACTTAAAAAAATAATGTGGTTTATTTTTTTGTTTGCTTGAAAAAAATTATGACAGGGTCTTGTCTCTAAGCTTCAGCCTAAGGGAAACTGTTTCTTTATCATGTGGTTTGAAAATAGAAATGTATAGTGGAAAAAATAGAAATTATAGAAATTCTATTCTAAAATAGAATTATGGAAGCCAAAATTACTAATTATAGAAAAAGGTATTAATCTAGTTTGAAACTAGCAAATGTTGGAGGCAGAACATAAATAAAGAATTAGCAATTTGGCAGGGAAGCAAAAGTATCTCAGAGATACATGAAAAACATAGATGGTTTAGAAAATTACCTCCTCAAGCTTGCTCAGTTTGGATAATAATTTTACTTAGTGTAAAGGTATATATCTATCACATGTACTAGAGGTTTACTTGTGAATAGTAATTAATATTTTCTAACCTGTTCTAAACACTTTGGTTCTACTGGTCTTCACTGCACTACAGCAAGAACATCCGTAACAGTAAAAATGACAAGTACCGAATGAGGGCTTATTTTAAGCCAGGCTTTCTTCTTACAGCTATTAACTCATTGAATTCAAGCCTAGGATTTCTGACTTCAGGAGTCCGGGGCACTTTATGTAACGTTATCTCTGTAGTGTATCATTGAGCAATGAAATAGTTAAATCTTGACTCTAAAACATCAAATTACTTTGGAAAGCAAAAGCCCTTTCATTTCTGAATTTATAAAGTAATAATATAAAGCACTTAAAAATGTAGATGCTTTAAGACTATTTTTGTTGTTTTTTAGCTTACTCATATTTGATAGCAAGCAAATAATGATAAAGCGAGTGGTGTGATATCCGTCGAAAATACTTCAAGGTAGTACTGAAAAACAGCACTTTATTAAAGTCCTTTATTTTAGTTCACAATAGTAGTTGCCATTCAACAAAACTATGATTTAGGTAAATTAAACTACTTGATGTTCTCCAATAGATCACATTGTAAACAACTGTCTCCTTGCTTGTGCTACGTCTGTTCCCTCTATCTTGTATTCCCTCCCCCTTGACGAGGAGCCCCCTTTTCCTTCGTGAAGCCTCTTCTCAACCCGCCTGTGGTCAGCACATCTCTGTCTTCACTGACGTTGTGATGGGCCGAACACAAAGCCTGCCGTCTCATTTACTCTATAAAGCGTTAAAAAGGATGACTCAGTTCCTACCTGTGAACCATAACAGTATTAATCAGATTATACAGGGGTGGACAAAAGTAGGTTTACAGATGTAATACAAATAAATAATAACTTGTAAGTAATAATACAAGAATAAATTCACAACTATAAACCTGCTTTTGCCAACCCTGATACAAACACTGGAGAGACAGATGTGAAGAAGTACTGATTCACTTCAGTACTTATTCAGGAGGATGTTATAAACCTAAAAAGAATCAGTTTTTCATAAAACACTTGATTTCTGAATCTCTGCTATTAACTAGCCCTGTGGTCTTAACCGATTATTAGCCTTTCCTTTTTGATCCTTGATTTCCTTCCTCATCTGCTAAAAGGGACAGACTAGAAAGATTCAGAAGAACCCCTTTCTTTTCTTCCAAAGTTGTTTGCATTTTATCCAGTAAATAATGTATGTGTAGTACTGTTGTTACGCATGGGGGTTACTCGAATGATCCAGACAAGATCTCCTTTGTGAACAGATTACAAACTATGGGATATCTTGACCAAATTCTGCAAACACTTCTTGATGCAGATGAGACACAGTAAACCAGACAGACCTTTGCCTTTGAGTTGAACAAGCAAGAAAGCATCTTTCGACATTAGATTCTAATTTGTTTCTAATTTATCAAAACCAAAATGTTTTTAAAATAATTATTTTGGTGAATAAAATATTTTGTTGAGGTATAAAAATTTCTGGGAGATTATGACCAGCCTTCATTCTTACAAAAAACTCTAATTTTATGCCCTTAGGTTTGCTTTGGGTTACGTCTGCATTACCTTGATCATTAACTATCTGGGTAATGGTAGATAAAGTGTATTTAGTTCATTAATCCTTAGATTCTTTATTATGTAGAATGGAGGCATTGTTAATGCTAAAGTTTTTCGTGGTGGTGGTATTGATGATGATGATGAGTATCATTATCATAAAGCTTTTTTCTCTTACTGAGAGTATTGGGTTGATTTCCAAACAGCCTGCTGAGCTAAATCCTGACTTGATTAAGGTCAGGTGTTAATATGTGACTGTGGACCTCATGGGAAG